ATCCTCCTAAGCTTTTAGCCCAAAGGACATTAGCCCAGAAGGGCTATTAATTTCGTTTTGGTGTTTTGCATCAAATCACTCTAAACGGCGTATCACTTTTAAAATTGTTGCCACCAATTATTAGAGCACTGCATTATATTTAAGGAAATTAAATAATGAAGAATCTGCATAAATGTATTTACGTTTCTCGCATTGTGATAAAACTGAAGTACATAGAGCCATCAAATTTTAAATAACGTAATCCCCCACGAATATGGGCATCTTAAAGCCTTAATTTGAAATTTGATTTATTATCTATTTCATATTATGTAAAACTTTAACGAATATTTAAATAACAAACTCAACGGTTTCAAAGTGAGCAATGGCAACACTGTACAAAAAAAAAATAATCTCCGGTGCGCGAGACTGTGTATCGGAAATTCTAAAGATATGCTCTTTTTAAATTATTTTGTGATATTGCTGTTGAATTGAATTTTATGGTTTAAGTGAGAAGACCATGATATTTAATAAATAAAGGTAACTCACAAAACGTTAAAAAAGGCCCCTTTGGACGTAATATAAAATCTAAAATCTTTCAGATTTTTTTTTTTTTTTTTTTTTTGTGCTGCATTGTAGATTAAAAGAAAACCTAAAAATTTTAGTTTTCGTGTGCAGTAAAGTTACATATAAATTTGTAAGGTTTATGCTATTATGATGATAAATGATGAAAATATTATGATTTAATAAATATAATTAAAAATAATTTTACATTTTGATGTTACATTAGAAATATATTATTATATTATATATGTTTGATTTCTGTTGCAAAAGAAATAATATTTACTGTTTAAAGCAAATAGAAGTCCCATTATTCAGCGATAAAATTTAAAAATAATATTGAAGCATTCAGAAATAATTATATATTTAGTAAGAAAAAAATCATTTTATAATTGAGAAAGCGCTCGGATGCTTTCTTCAGTATTTTTTTACCTTTCTTGAATTCTTGCAACAGAAAATTCAAATGCCTATAATTTAGACACCGGAAGCATATTTAGCCACACTTTTTAAATGATTTCTATATATTTACTATTTTTAAAACATTTATTGCTCTTTTCATGTTAAGGCCCCGGGCTGTGCGAGGTCAACTCAACCTTTCATCCCTTGATTTCCGTCCTTTGGGTCGATGAAATGAGTACCAAGTTCGCTTGGGGACTGAACACTGGGGGTCCTGCCACAAGCTGACCACTTGTTCAGGGCATATGTTTACGCACCCCAGGGCCCACGGTCAAGAAAGCAGGTTTCGGGCACTGCAGGCCTTGGCCCATTAGGGCTATTCCGCTACTGAGGGTTTTTTTTTATGTTAATCTATCGAAGAGGAATGGTTTATTGTTTTTTGTTGGCTTTAAACTGAGCTTATACTCGTATATGTCACACATAAAAATAGCCAGTATCTTAAAAATATTAAAATGAAATTGAAATAATAATTAAATCAAATAATATCAATGAAATAGCGTTTCAATAAATCCAAGCTTCTGCTAAACAAACGCATTTTTTTTAACAGTGTACAAATTACGTTGCCTTGTCTCGCAAAGCTTTTAGATAGTGGGAACTGAATTTATTCGCTTTCAGAAGAGATATCCTTTCTAATATTTACTATTTTTATTCAAAACTACAAAAGACAGAAGACTACAAAATTAAGGTACTCTGGAAAATGTTTGAAACTATAACGTGGTTTAATTTTTCTTCATTTATTAATTTTCAGATTTTCGAGAAAAGTAAATTTCAATAAAAAATCTTGTTTGCTTTTATAAAGTTTTGTTTATACTTTGAACAACAGTAAGATAAAAAATTATTAAAAATTTACAAGGATAAAATAAAAAGCTACTTTTCATAACTCAAATTTAGCATTTTCTTGAGGAAATCAAATACCTGTCCCTAGTATGTTGCTCAGTGACAGAGATATTTTTCCTAATGTAAATTTGCGTGGTGAATTTAGCAGTTAGAGTGACAAACAAGTTCTTAGTATCTTTCTCTGGTAAAATTGCTCGGCTGAGAAGCGACGATTATGTATAATATGCATGTGTGTTGCGTTAAAACCATTTCAGGGCCATGCGTGATTGCGTAAATATAATGCATTTTAGTTTACTGGAAAACATAGAAGTCACTTTGCTTCTATTTGTAATCTCCCATTCTGTGGAGATTTAGAATGCAGATGTAAAACTGTAAAAAATAGGTAACTACCCTTCTTGTAAACGAGATTTATTTAGACACTTTTTCGAGGTTTATTAACAATTAAATACAATGAAGCCTCGTTTATGCACTTTCTTTTTATTTCCAAATCTTTACATTTATACGTAGTTTCATTTCTGATGCGATTCATTTCGTTCCAAGTAAAAGTTAAATAATTTATTTATTAAACTCACAATTTCATTTTGCGCCATTTTTTCTAACTTGTTCGTCGCATTCCTTTTCACAACTCAGATAGTCCGCTTTAAGTTATTCCTTTTCTTTTCGGTTGCATCTGCAAGCAAGGATATAAGGGAAGGAAGAGACTAAGACGTGTGATATATCAGACTGTTGCAAGGTTTGAAACTCGGTTTGCAGTCGGTAAGAGGACGGAATGGACAATGTAATTCGCTAGTCAGAAAAGGTTGATGGAAAATGCTTCATTCCTGTGCCACTTCGTAAATGTATTTCAAATAGACTGCTGCTTGTTCTCTGCGTTTTCTTTCCAATATGAATTACTTTTAAAATACCTAGAAAATTAAAAGCCTTCTTACAGAAAGGGAAAACTGATTTTAAAAAACAATTAACAACATTACATTATTAACAACGGTAGAATTATTGAAAAATTTAGATATTTTTGTTTCAGCACTGAAGGTATTGTTCCTGGGAAAAAATAACATGACAGCCAAAAACTGCTGAAAATCTGCTTCAAAGAAGATATGTTTCCAGTGAGAAAAATTTCATTTGCTTTCATTTATTTCGTTTCGAAAGTTTTTCTCTCAAAGATTTTCATTCAGTATTTTGAATCAATTACTCCAGTGAATGAATCCACATGAATAAAGAGGACAAAATGAATAGCATTACAACCGAATGCCTGAAAGAACTCTAACTTTTGAAGGTGAATAATGGAATGAAAAAAATAATGATCGTCTTACTATTTTTCTTTGTAGGAATACTGGTAGAACTATAAAAATGACATCTCTAGCTGTAGGAAAATCATAGAAACCAAAATGTTTCAAAAGTGTTTAAAACTTGCTGTTATGGTACGAAAATAATAAAAGTGAGTAGAATATTATGGACATTTTTTACACATAGGAGCACGAAAATAGAGAAAGAAAATTTAATGAGAAATCAAGTCGCAAAATATTTTTTTTCACAGATCAATATCCCACCATCTGCATCTAACCAATTTTTTTGGAAAATGTTTAAGTATTTTTCAAACTAAATTGTGTGAAAGCATTCTAATCCTTAGATGAAAATATACAATAATTTCGAAACTTTCAAGAGGAGAAGATTAATTCAAATCCTCTTTCAGAATATTACAGGAAGATATACCCAGAATAAGATAAGCTGCGAGTATGATATCTCTGGCTTGGACTCAACTAAACATTGCTTCATAAGATTAAGATTTCCAAATGTAGAATTAAGCGGAACTGTTGATAAAGGATCCATAAAACTTGTGTTGCAGATGAAGAGAACTGAAATCTCTTGGAAGCAGAGACACTTTTCACGGAATAGGTGACGTGATATATAAAGCTAATGACGACAATACTATCTACATTTGAAGAAATGATTGGAAACAGATTTCCGGATTAAAATAGTCGGAATGAAGAACTTGCTTTCTTTCCACCGACAGCGAGACAGCCGGTCCACTGGGTGGTTAGCATATCGGCCAGGTAGCCCCGCTGACGGAAATAACTTGATCAACATAACACACTTATCTATGCATATTGTGCTCAAAAATTCATTTAGCTACAGCAAATCAAATCGATTTCCGGGTGCAATGTATTGTATTGATACAATCAGAAATTTCTTCATCTGTCATCACGGTATAAGAAATAAAATATTTCGAGAGCTTAATTCGATTCACATTACAAGGCTCAAAATCAATGTCAGATGATGTTTGAAAAGATTCTCTTCTTTTTTAAAAAAGAATTAAAACCTGCTTCTATGTTAAAACATTCTTGTTAAATGTATTATTTATTCAAGAGACAGTGATATAAAAGTATGGTCACTCTCATTTCATGTTAAATGTTATATAATCCGATGTTTTCTGTTAAATGTTATATAATCCGTTGTAGAAAATATTTCATATTTCAATAATTCAATAATGTAGACAATATTTTAAATGCAATAAAAGTCGGATTAAATTTGAATTTCTGTAATATTAATATCACAGTAGTAACATTAAAGGTCTACTATACGTATCAAATCTTAAACTAAAATTTCCATCACACATCTTTCCTTAGCATTTGCTCTTTTTTTTAACAGATAGTAGTGTAAATGAATTATTTTAGCCATTATGTATTGTTTAAGGTATATGTGGTAATTGTTTGTTAAATTTCAAAATTCTATATTTGGGTAATTAATTAAAATAAGTACTGAAATAGGTATTGTAGTAGGTCTTGTGTTAGTATTTGAATAAGTATTACCTGAAATGTTTTTGTCTCATAACTTTTGTATAATTTTACGCATACATTTTACAAGTGCTCGTGATGACGAATTTCATTTAAATGTTATCTTGACTGTTCTGTTGACTGCTGAAAATTTTAAAGGTTTATTCAAAAATTTAAATTTATTCAGGTCGTTACGAAGAAAAGGTACAAAACTAAATGAATTAATAATTTTGTGAAAATTATAAAATAAGCCGTCAGTGACAGAAAGTAAAAATAACCATCATGAGAATAAATTGTGACTAGTTTTCAAATGAACGAGTTTATGTCCTGTGGTGGTGAATGTATGTATTGCGTATGACTTAGAAATTAATGTATTAATATTTGTATTTTCAATTTTAGCAACCATTTCATTGCGAAATCGAAGAGAAAGTAGGAATACCTTGTCTGACTTCCGGGACAATTCTCTGTCGCATTAGGCTTGACAGAGGGGGATATGTTCCAGGAGAAAATATCTGCATATATGCTGCCATTGAAAACAGTAGTAAAGTGACAATAAAGAGGACTCGAGCGATACTTTCTGAGGTAAAATGCCAAACTGTTATACTCTCTCTCTATCTATCTGTCTATGTACATGTCTCCAAAATTATACGATGAAGAATTGGATGTGCATTTAAATTAAACTTGGGTTATTTGTAATATCATTTTCTATTTTCAAAAATATTTTATAAACAAAGCCTGTTTAGAAATATTTCTGTTTCTGTGAAAATTATCAATCAAGTGTCACTTAAAACACTGTCAGTAGATAAAATCTATTTAGAAATATTTCAGTTCCCTTGAACATTATTAGTTCAGTATCACTTAACACTCTGTCTTCAAACGGGATAGCTTAAGGTTTAACATATGAACAGAAGAAAACGATGTCACAGACTTCAATTTATAATCCTTCTACACTTTTTTTGAAAGTTTTGCATTTTATATGGAAGGAGATTTGAAATTACATTCTTTTCTTATTTCATTTTAATGACATATGTAAATATCATATCACACATTCAAAGCATTTTGGAAGAATAACTCTTTAGAAAAAATTTTCTGCTTTTTCACATGATTTGAAACAGCCAATCACCGCGGATCATTTGGGGGTTACCAAGTGAAGCGAAAACTAGTTCTCTAATACAAATGATCATTGATGACAGGAGACTCGTTGTTGGAAATGAACCAGTTACAACTTTTTGCGAAAGAAAGGAAAAAATAGTGTGTTATTCTTTCAGTGGTAAGGCTGGCATAGCACGGCAATTTATTTCAAACTAACAACTCTTTCAGACAATTTTTTTTACCTGCTTTATAAGGTAGAAGCAGTTAGAAAAAGAAAAGCAGGTAGAAAATAGTAAGCAGGGGTGGGAAAAAAAAAAAAAAAAAAAAAAAAAAAAAAAACTTAAAAGTTTCAGATTTTAAATTACGTCCAAAGGGGCGTTTTTTTACCGTTTTGTGTGTTACCTTTATTTATTAAATATAATGTTTTTCTCACTTAAACCATAAATTTCAGTTCAATAGCAATGTCGCAAAATAATTTAAAAATGAGCCTATCTTTAGAATTTCCGATACACAGTTCTGCGCACTGGAGATAAAAATGTTTCCCCCCTCCCCGTACATTGTTGGCATTGCTCGCTTTCAAATCGTTGAGCATGTTACTCAAAAATTCGTTAAAGTTTTAAAAATATGAAATCGATATTAAAACAAATTTCAAATTTGGGTTTCCACATGCCCATATTCGCAGCAGGATTACGTCATTTAAAATTCGATGGCTCTATGTACCGTCATTTTATGGTGTTGGTGTTGTTGGTGCATTTAAATATGGCAAAGCACACGAGGGCTATCTGCCTAAGGGGAGGGATGCCTTCGTGGAGGACTTTCTAAGGGAAACTGGCTCGTATACATGTTACACATGGGGAAAACCACGAAAAACGCCCATGCAGCCAGCCCATTCGCGGGATTCGAACTACCAGTGTTCAGCGACTTTACCGCTCGGCCGCTGATGGGCTCCCGTCATTTTATGAAAATGAGAGAAATATACATACATTTATGCATATGTTTTATTATTTAATTTCTTTAAATATAATACAGGAGTCTAACATTTGGTGGCAACCGTTTAAAAAGTGAAACGGACATTTATTCAACGCAAGATTGCAAAACGAAAACAATAGTCCTTCAGGGACAAAGCCCCTTTGGACTAAAAATTGTCTGAAGCAATTGTTCGTTTGAAATAAATGGCTGTGTGATACCAGCCTATCATAATCACATAAAATTTAATTAAGTAATTATTTTCGTGGTTATTACCGAATAACGCAGAAATAATGATATTAATTTACATATTCGGCATAAAGTACTTCATTTGCTATAGAGCCATTAAAGTATCTTATCTGAAACAAAGCTTTAGCATGTTCCCTATATTAGAAGGGAAAATGTTAAATACGTTATAAAGCTTTTAAATTTTTACAGAATTCTATTTTACAATCATTAGCTACATTCTTTGCAAAATTCATTGACACATATTTTAAAGGAATTACAAATTAATGGAATTACAAATTTTTGCAAAATTCTACTTTACTAATTTTTAAAAATGTTTTGCGTTTGAATCGCCTATCAGACGGTCGATCAGAAAATGGTCTTCGAGTTCTTGCTCGTATGTTACAGTTTCAATCGATGTGATAATACTATATCACAGTTCTTGAAAATCGCAGAAAAATGGTAGCGGCAAATTTACAGTGTCTTCAATACATCAACTTAGGAAAAAAGGTGAACCTGATAACCTTTCTTATGACAAATCAAATCGTTATCAATAAGTAAAAATGAAGTTTAAAAATTTTTATGCCCTTTTGAAATTTTTATGCCCTTTTGAAAATTTTATGCTCTTTTGAAATTTATCCATTGTTTTCGCATGAAAATATATGTTTTCTGGCCCTTTAGGCTTCTCATTTTTCTATTATAATTAGGTACTTTATTCTAAAAGCACAACATGCAGTTTTTTTTAATTTGTTAATTACATTGTACTTTAGAAACTTGGATGTAATGACTGTGAACAATGATACACCAAATGGTGCTATTATTAATTTCAAAGTTAAATATTTTAAAGTTTAATGCAAAGTTATCCTTGAAAATAATAGTTCTCTTTTTTTTTTTCAAAGTACAGGGTAGTTATAATCAAAGTTCCACTTCCAAATGATCATAAAATGAAAGCTACTGGAACAAATGTTATCATACTTGGTAAAAGTGTAAAAGATGTCATGGAAATTTATTTCCCACCAAAAAAAAATTTCGAAAACTCTCCACCAGGGAAGAAAGGGCGCTGTATGCAATATTCTTAAACGAAAAAAGGGTCGGAATTTAACTTAACCTTTTGTTATACGGATTTAATATGTTGTATACCCTTAAGAAACATTGACCTAAGAAATGACCATCTAAAGGCAATAAACGTCGAGTGCGCCATCCGAGTAACGGAGAAATTCGTCTGAGAAAACCGCAAATTCGCGATTGGAAAATATGAGATCGCAAATCACGATCAAAAGTGTATACATTTCGAAAATCGTTTTCTTACAGATCGCTAATTTGTGATTTTTGAAGCCTTAATTCTGCTCTAAGACATGAAGATATCAGTTTAAAACGTTTTTAATTGTTCCTAAAACGAAACTGTTTGTGGAGTAGGCAAAACCTGTTTGTGGCTTGTTATTGGCTTACGGCAGGTAAAAACAAATGATTTATGCAAATAATCTAAAACAATTTGGCATAATTCAAAGATGCGATACACCGACAGGCCCGTAACATTCCTCCTGATATGCTAAGAGCTGCTGTTGAGAATGCAGTAATACGATTTAACTTGCTTCGGGAATTATACATGGAAACATACATTATACATGGAGAAAACCGCGAAAACGCGTGCCCATGCAGCTGTGATTCGAATCCCGGAACGAACTATCAGCGTTTAGCGATTTCATCGCTAGGTTGCCTTTAGCGAAAATTCAGATTGCACAGTAAGAAGGATTGGATTGGATTGGATTATTTAATTACGGCAAAGCACACGAGGGCTATCTGCCTGAAGGGAGGGATGCCTTCGTGGAGGACTTTCTAAGGGAAACTGGCTCGTATACACGTTACACATGGGGAAAACCATGAAAACGCCCCATGCAGCCAGCCCGTTCGCGGGATTCGAACCTCGGACCGAACTACCAGTGTTCAGCGTCTTTACCGCTCGGCCGCTGGTGGGCCACAGTAAGAAGTGAAAAATTGATAGGAATAATATCACAAAATTACGCAGCCAAATCATCATTTTGACTGAATAGCTAAAGATTTTTACGCACTGTTTAGTAGGATAAAGAACAATTTACTCATTAGAATTTTCTTTATAGATGGCATTGGTAAAAAAATTAAATGTTTAATAATTTTAATAATAGATATCGTATGATCAAGATTGTTGTAGACTGCAATCCCATTATTTGATTAATTTTTAAAACTGCAACTATGTTTTTGTGACCAAGCATTCGAAAGATATTTGTGGTATGTTTGGAAGAATCTGAGACTTTAAAAACATATTGCAGAAATGGTATTTTTATACATTTTTACTCTTTATTCCTTTCGGGCAATAATATCATGCGCATACCTCGTTTCCGTCGCAAGCCCTTTTTTCACAATTACATAATTGTACACATATTTGAATATTAACTAATTGTATTAAAACAGTAATATTTTCTTATGACCTGTGAATACCATTCTTTAAAACGTTTGTCGATTTTATTACGAACATTGTTTGATAAAATTTTGCGCCTTAAAAAGCTCATTAAGGGATTTAGAAGGTTTTTTGAAATCCCAAACATTTATCGAGAAAACATTAAAGCATTTGGTCCTTTCTTTTTACCTTGGAATAAATAGTGGATGTGAATTTTTTTGAAATAAATGGAAGATACGAAATGAATTTACTTTTCTTTAAAAGCGCAATTATTGCTCTGAAATCTAATTTATTCCCCAAGAGGTACCTTCATTTTAAATGCCAGAAAGACTAAAGCAGAATTCTTCTGTGATAGTTTTTGGGAACAAATGAAAAATAAAAGTAATATTTTATTATTATTATTATTATTATTATTATTATAATGTTTTTATCACATTAAGATAATTTGCACAATATGGATCAGCGTTTGCGTGAATCATTTGTAAAGCCTTTTTAGCTTCGCTAACCAGTTATTATTTTAATCTTTCTATTTTATTCCGATTTCTTAGCTTCTAATTAGCTATTTTTCAGAAGACATTACAAAATGTATAAATTACTGAGTAAATAAAAACAAAGTAGAAAGCAGTTCGAAGTATATTTCACATAGTTTCTGGTTACCAGAGTTTTGCGCTTCACGATCCCGACAACCTTTGCTACATTCTAGACATCGCATAACCTAATTAGAAACATTTTAGCTCAGATAGCAACATGTAAATAATTGAAACTTATTCGGCATACTATTTTAATTTAAAATGAGCTCAATTTATTCAGAAATCAAATACTTCTAAACGTTAACATTGATCAGATGAGTGCTTCCACGCCGCTCACACGTTTATCTTCCCCTTTCTGTTTTCTACACCATCTGTTTCTTTTCTCTTTTCTGAATCATATTAACTAATTAATGCTGATATCACTGCTGACATTGGAAATGACAACTAAAGTAACAGTAAATAATAACTATAGCAAAGAATAATTAAAGTAAGCAACGCATACTTTAAAGCTTATTCCTTTGATAGTATCTTAAAGCTTGTTTTCGAATTTAATGCTTGTTAAACGTATACATTTATCTGCTGTGTCCCAGCCACACACACTTTTTCCTCTTCGCTCTTAATTTTCTTCGCTTTTTTATATTTTTTTAGCTTCCCCTCTCTGAACCATATTAACTAAGATACTGACGTCACTGTTAATGCTAACTAAAGCAACAGTAAATAATAACTAAAGTAGACAACTCATGTTTTAAAGTTCTTTCACCTCATAATATCATAAAACTAACATAAAATCAGTTCACAGAATGCAAATTGTAAAATAATAATAAGGTTTATAATATCCTACTGATTTTATTATCGGGATCTTAAAATTCACAATTTTAAACACATAAAAATAAAATCTTATCTGTTTTCTAAAATAAAAGTCCTAAGCTTAGAATCGCATCTTAAATTGCTTTACAAATCGTTCCCAATCTCATCTTGAAAACAAAGAATAATTAAATTAAATATTTTGGTACTTTCAAGTGCTTTCAGATACTGAGTTAGTAATTTTGTGCATTAATATTTCGTATAGACTTTGTGAATAAGTAAATTAGAAGAGCAAAAATAAATAAACAAAAACTTATTAAAAACGCTTAAAAAGTAATTGAACAAAAACAAAAATTGAAAGGAGAGTTTTTTTCACGGGGGTTTCAAAACGGGATTTGAAAAGTGATACAGACATTCAAAGTCATTCGACGCAAAATACCTTTAGACTTTGTAACGTTTTGCGTTGCTACGCTACCAACATAATACCAGTAACAAATGTAAAAAAAGACCTTGAGCAATAAAATATCCGCACTTGAACATGCACGCAATGTTAAAGTTAATGGAGTGCATTGAAATCGTTCAGTTTGTTAATAAAAAATTCGTTGATGCTTCACAAAGTATGAAATAGACAATAAAACAAATTCGAAATTTGAGCTTGAGTGGAAGACTCCGTTATTCAAAATTTGATGTCTCTAGGTACTGTTGTTTTTTCACAATGCGAGAAACATACATGCATACATGCAGATTCTTCCTCATTTAATTTCTTTAAATATGATACAGGGCCTCAATATTTTGTGGCAGTAATTTGAAAAGTGATTCAGACTTTTATAGTGAACCAACGCAAAATGCCAAAACGAAATTAATAATCCTTCTGGGCTAATACATAAATAAATAAATTTTTGAATCTTTTTACAACTCCAAGCAGTGACGTCTTTTACATGAGGAGATATGCTCAGCAAATCCGGGTAGCTTCAACAGTTTACATCCCTAATATAAACTGAATTTCGAATGCATAAAAAAGTATGACAATAATCGTAAACATTGATCAGCTGAGTGCATCCGTGCCACATGCATTTTTTCCTCTTCGCCTTTTTTAATATAAGATATTTAGAGTCTTAAGCAATTGCACGGTAAAAACATGGAGAGAGCAGAAAATCGAGATTAAAAAGTAACTCATGATTGTGATAAATAACTCTTGATAATTCTCAATTACCTGCTACAGTACAATTAAATTTAATGTATAAGACTGAAAGTAATTACTTAATTATCTAAAATAAATAAAGTTACCTAGAATAAAATATTATGCTGAGCAAAATCTTTCATCAAAATATAAAGTATACTTTCTGTGCTCGTGCATTCTCATATTTTCTGCATTCATTCTCTTATAGGAATTATGCATTATGACGGAAAATTATGCGCATTTTTTCATGTATGTAAAGTTCTGCTGTCGCATGATTTTCAATCTTAAGATTAAGATGCATAATGCTATCAGTTTATTTGAAGTCTTTCGATCCTAATTACTTTAATAATTCCAACTTTTCCATGAAGTTCCACACTGAAATATTTCTTAATGAGATAAAATGTATTTCATTTTTAATATCATTTTTACTTGAATTTAGTTGCACCAGAGCAGCACTCGGCTTATTAGCGAATTCTTTGTAATATGTCATTTATTTATTTTCTCAAGTCGGCAATATTTCTTTCTTTTCAGACTATTCAATACACTGCAAAGAATAAGTTAGTCCATACCGAAAGCCGGGAGCTGGCCTCTCTGCAAAAAGGACGCATTGCAAGCGGTTCTGGGGACCAGTGGCAAAATGCGCTTTTACATATTCCGCCTTTGCCTCCAACCAACCTCAGAGGCTGTCATCTGATTCGAATACAGTATGATGTTTACGTAAGTACAGTAATTATGGCATTGATTGTTTTCAAAATACTTTGGAAATGGAACTTTAGAATTAATTTCAGTTCTTCTGTGCTAACTGATATTTGCTCAAGATATTGTAATCTTTCCTAGGCTGTATTCAGCAACATGGAAAAACAAATCCCCATCCACACAACTAGCTTTGCTATACGTTACTTGTTATACCCGTAATTTCTCATGAATATGTGGGAAATAAAATTTAATTTAGGACAAACTTTATACAGGGTGTCCGAGAATAGGGTCACCAAATGTCGGAATGCATCCTGTGGTCTAAGATAACCAAACTAAAGTTCTTTGAACACGTGACCGGAAACCTACAGAGTTACAAGAATTTAAAAGACAAGCAATTGAATATAATTGTGTGCTCCATGCAGAGTACTGAAATTCATGCTGGATAGCGTCCTCATTGTGTTAGTCAGAATCTGTGAAAAAAGAATCAGGATGCTCAGATGCCGGAATTTATAACCAAACATTTAATCATAAGAAGGTGCATTGGCATGTAGTTTTCGCATGCTGTTGTATTTATTGATCCTCAGTGCCCCGTTGTTCGTACGAGTGCATTTCCGTCGTATGCCAATCAAAGCCTTTTGCCCTCAAAATGCACTGCTGGTGTTTGGAAATTTTATTCTGCTATATATGTTGCTTGTATATCAATTCATTGCGCTAGTGTTCACCAGTGGTCCACGTGGTTCAAATACATAAAATCTCTAAGCAATTCGACCTTCTTCATATCTTGGTAAATGGCTGTAGGGGGATTTTGCAGTTGATCCCACTCCTAAGGTAAAGTCCTCCTGAGTTGTTTTCTTTAGATACAACGCCTCAAAATTGTCGTTTTCTTACAGAAATAGTCTTTTCGAGTTTTGCGTTAACACGCTGAGCCCGGCGCCGGTCCCTGGGGACCGGCAGTGGACTTTCTGTGGACTTTCCGTCGGAAATTGGGGACCGGCTGGAAACTGGAATTTTGTCCGGTGTCGTTCCTTGGGGACGGGCACTAGAAGTTTCGTTTGACTGGCGTTGGTCCGTGGGACCGACAGTATTAACATTCACGACCACGAGCTTTATCACGCACAGGCAAGGCTTGTATGTCGGTAGCCGACAAAGCTCACCAAAAGATAAGCTCTACTCAGTGCATGAAGCCGTGGATCACGCTGCAACATAGCACCGCTTGATCGCTCGCGCCGGCTGAATAGAAAGGACAGCAAATTAGGCGCCGGGCTCAACGTGTTAATCAGTTCACCAATCTTCGTTGTGAAGTAATTTACTAAATTTTCAACCTACATTAATGATCTTCTCTCAGTATTAATCACTGGAAAATATTGTAATACAGTTTATTTGGAAAGAGGATAAAATACTCGAAATTGTTTTAATTGACCTCTCTGATTTTAATTAGAGTGGAAACTATACAAACTATTCATATTTACAGTTGTTTATTATGCCTTGTTGAAAGCAACCGGCATAATTTTATTCCTGTTGTATTCTTAATGATATCTGGCATATTAAGAATATGATTATAAAAGGTAGATAACCGATTTGATGAAAAATATTAAAGGAAAGAAGCCTTATATAAGAAAAAAAGAATTTTATGATGAAAGGTAATTATTATCGTTTATTACGGCAAGAAATATTACGGTTAAAAACTTTAATCAACGGAAAGACGGTTATGTATAAAACTTAATAAAAGAATGTAACTCTAAGTGTAGTCAAACATATGTGTGTGGTATACCTATGCATGAATTGGTTGCTGCTGCATGTATACTCGAAAATACAAACACGGCAGTTCTACCGAAAGCTGAATCCAAGTATGTGGATAATCAGAAAATGTCGAATAATTTGGAAATAGGCTATTTCATTTTTGATTCGGAGACAAAGTGTAACTGTTGCCCACGTTTAGTACCCAGCTGTGGAAATAGTAAGAATAATATAATATTATAAATTTAAGGAATTTATCTTAACTAAATGCACTGAAGGTTTCTGCATATATATCTTCTGTTACATACACTTATAGGGACTCAAGTTTCCAAATTTTTAGAACTTATTTTAGTTGTCATTTTATAAAAATTAATTCAATCTCTCGTAGTAACGTTATCGAAGAGAACGAACATAAGAACATTGTAGAAAACATAAACATAATCAATATTTTCATGGCGTTTCATGGCGTGGCCTGTTATGAACACAAGATCAACTTCTTTAATTAGGTGGGTCAGGTGGTGCTCACTTATGGTACCTTGCGGTTTCGTAAAGGGTTCTGCTAAAAACTAATATTTTAAACGTAAATATTGTTACAAATTATATTTATGTGATACAAATAGACTTCTTATATTGAACATAAATATTTAAAATACTTAAAAACTTATTCAGAAGTCAAACAACAAAAATCAGCGTTATACCTACAAAAATTTTCACAGGACTAGTTTCGATGGTTTTACCGAACCATCATCTTCAGCTGCAAAACCGCGAATGCACAAGATAGGAAATAATGATTAGATAAGATAAGAAAGCCTGGACAAGAATAAGCAAGTGGCGCCATCTGTTGGCGAAACCAGAACTAAAACATAATTTCTCTAAAAGCCGAAGGCAAATTTGGATTGGAATTAGGATCGTTAACTAGAACAATCATAAAAGCATAAAAATCTTTCTGTTCTAGTTAACGATCCTAATTCCAATCCAAATTTGCCTTTCGGCTTTTAGAGAAATTATGTTTTAGTTCTGGTTTCGCCAACAGATGGCGCCACTTGCTTATTCTTGTCCAGGCTTTCTTATCTTATCTAATCATTATTTCCTATCTTGTGCATTCGCGGTTTTGCAGCTGAAGATGATGGTTCGGTAAAACCATCGAAACTAGTCCTGTGAAAATTTTGTAGGTATAACGCTGATTTTTGTTGTTTGACTTCTGAATTAGTATTTATTCGGCGTGTTATTGTGTCTTAATTACTTAAAAACTTCTCATTGTTTAAAATTTTTCTTTTGAAAGTTACATGTTTAATACAATACAGAAAGTTATTTTTAAAAGAATAGAACACTTTTCTCTTGAGCTGCGCAGTTTCTGAATATTTAACAAATTTAAAAATGTTGTTTTTACTTATATATGTTTTTTGGTATCGCAAGTACTCAGTAATCCACCGCTTCTCAAATTTTTAGATTTTTGATTTGGGAATTTGTTATGATATGTTAATTTATGATTACAGATCTGCTGTCTGGAATTTAATTAATCATTGCGTGCAAATGATTTAGTCAGTTAATTGAAATAACAAAGAATTCCTCATAGAATGCATATGAATTAATTTAATTCTTATAGATGAATAACGTTTTCAGTACAGATAAAGAGAAACGTTATCTCTGTCTCTCTTTAGCAAGGCTCTTTGGATATTTAAAGGACTAACACTTTGACATTTTGAAGGAAATTTTCTTTGATAAATGCACGCCTACAGCCTTTCGAATGATACAAAAGCTGTCCGATTTCACTCTGCGCGAAACGACCATGGTGGCGGGAATTAAAGGAACGCAGTGAATAGAAATTATCTTTCGTTGATCAATGACTCGCGATTTTTGGCTTTGTATCACTAAATTTAATTTGATCAACGTTGCTTCAGGACGGGTTCATCCGCATGAAATCTAAAGTAACAATGGTCATTACATTCGGCTCAAAAGACGTTTATGCTCTCTTCTGAAAATTTTCAAACCATAAGAATATTGCTTTGAATCTTTATAGACCTAAATCTCGTAAATTCCTGATATTATTTCGGAACCACCATTGTTTCTAATTTGTGATATTTTTCTTTTGTGGATGAAATTTGGTATCATTTATAGTTTTTAACTTGAAGTATACTCTTCTGAATGTTCTTTTTAATAATATTTATGAATCATATTTTCTTATTTCTTTCAGTTTATTATTGAACCAAAAGGTCTGGATCGACCTATCAAACTTCAGCTGCCAATTATGATAGCAACATATCCCGCTCGAAACAAGGACGGAACGCTCAAGAGAAGAGGTCGGTTACCAGCATATCCTGCACATCTACCAGTCTTCAGATCCTAGCAAAATGAAAAATGTCCCCATTTTTGCCATACTTTGCCACTGTAAAGGAATTTTCTGCTGTATATTAGACAGTCGAAGTTATGCATATTTCGCCAATATCTCTGTTATTATGAACGATTTATAGATTTTAATTTAAGAGAAGATGTTAAGATTATTATTATTAATAACAACAGAGGAAAAATAAAAGAGAATTTCTATATTTATCAGCATACTAATGTTATGTTGTAGTATAATAAAAATTCTAGAAATAAAAGTCAGTTGCTGTGTACATCAGTATAAAATAAATACAAATAAAAGTACATTTTTTAATTTGAAGTTGCTGAAATATTATTTTTGGATGTTATTTGTATTATACATAATATTTTTGGTATTATGCTTAGTCATTTGGACTTCACAGAAACCGCTAAAACGTATTAATCAACATAATTTGAAATGCATGAAATAATAAATTACAACGCTGTTTAGAAAATACTAATTAAAAGTATTCCAAGCATATGCAGAACAAATACGCATCCATCCATAATGCGTAGTATTTATTCCTTTAAATTGTTCGGATAAAGTTAAACTAATAAGAAAAATATAGCAAAATTACCTTTCTTCGGAATACAGTCTGAAATTATCAATTTAAAATTATTGAATATATTAATGATTTACTTCTTGAAGATTATTCAGTATCACATAATAACACACACATTACAAATGGCCTTTAAACATTAGATAATGCTATGATTCAAGGAATCTGGTATAATATCTGGTCTGCATGGGCAGTTATTAACTATCGTAACTATCAATTACTTGATGTTCATTTAAAAGAAATTAGCTTCCACTTGCAGAGGATTTGCGAAAAGCAAGTATGCACCAAGGAGAAAAAAAGGTAGGGAAAAACAGCTAATTTTTATTGAACAATTGTATACTGAATTGGCAAGTGATAAAAGGAATAATATATGTGGAGGACAAATGCTTGAGCGAGTTAATCTTTCTGCAAAGAGGATAGGTTGTCGTCTGATAAACGCAAACAAATGGACTTTAGATATACTGCAGAGTAACATACGAAAAAGCACGTCAACATAAATTTTAAAATATAAGTGTCGTTCAAATGAAAGTGACATTGCTGAAATAAGACTGCGCACGCCCCTATAGAGGGCGCAGAATGCTAGGAGTGCATGTGATATCGTCAGATCCCTCCAGATGCGTGTGTGATAGCGTCGAAGCACGTTAAAAGGCATCGTTCGCATCATGGATGCCTCCAAATGGTGTCAATGGTGTTGGTTTTTAACAACGGAAAATGGGAGTGCTTCTAAAATCTATCGTCGAATGCAAAATGTGTATGGCATGAAGTGTATGAAACGCAAGTCGGTATTCAAATAGAGTAGCGATTTTCGTAGTGGTACTGACGAAGCAGTACTGACGGCACACCACGAGCTGGTCAGGTGCATGTGGTGATCACCCACCCAGGAATCAGTTGCAAATGTGGACCGCCTCGTGAAAATGAATCAGCGAATCACCATTCGAGAAATAGGTGTGGTGTGGTGGTGTATTTAATTATGGCAAAGCACACTAGGGCTATCTGCCTAAGGGGAGGAATGCCTTCGTGGAGGACTTTCTAAGGGAAACTGGCTCGTTTACACGTTACACATGGGGAAAACCACGAAAACACCCATGCAGCAAGCCCGTTCGCGGGATTCGAACCTCGGACCGAACTACCAGTGTTCAGCGACTTTACCGCTCGGCCGCTGGTGGGCCTCGAGAAATAGCGGAGGAAATTTCTATGAGTATAGGAAGTGTGCACAGTTCTGCGTGAAAGGCTGCAGTGAAGTTCTGCTCTAAAGGTTGCGATACCGAAAGGTTTGTGCGCAATTGGTGCCAAATCATTTAACAGAGGAGCTGAAGATTCATCGCATGTCTGTTTCCATGCAACACCTTATGCGGTACCACGAAATGGGAAACAAATTCCTTTCAAGCATCATCGTCGCTGATAAAACATGGTGCCATCCCTTTGATCCAACCACAAAAGCATGAGCATAGAATGGCGACACTCTTCTTCTCCACTTCCGAAGAAGGCTTGCATGTCCACTAGAGCTGGTAAAATCGTGTTAACGTTCTTCTTTGATGTCGATGGCCAACTACTATTGGAATGGCTACCTACGGGCACGATTGTCACTGCTGCCACGTACTGCGCCACATTGCAGAAATTGAGAAAGAATACCAAGAACCGCCGATGTGTCATGCTGTCACGTGGGGTTACTCTCTTGCATGATAATGCTCGTCCTCATGTGGCTGTGGCGTGCCAAACATTGGTGCGGCAATTCCGCTGGGAGGTTCTCGAGCATCCATCTTACAGCCCTGACCTCTCGCCGTCTGACTACCACATTTTCGGCCCATTCAAGAAACCTCTGAAGGGACAGCGATTTGTCGACGATAATGAGGTCCAAGCTGTAGTTGGAAATTGGATCCACAACTAACATCGGAGCTTCTTCACCCAGGGTGTTCATCGTCTCGTTGACCACTGAGATACTTGTTTCAATCTACAAGATGACTTTGCCTAGACTCTCTGTTACGTTTGTATTAATTGTTTCTTTTGTATACTAAATTATAATAATATCATTAAACCATTCTTTAAATCGACTGTAGTGCCACTTTCATTTGAATGACCCTTATGCAATAAAATTAGACCTCGGTTTGCTGTTTAGTTTAACGAAGTGCACTGATGTATGACAAGATAAATAATTCTTTCTTATTCAAAACGAAATCTTGTTCGAAAGAAAAGCTAAGAGATTCTAAAGATATTTAAAAAGATTCTGACTTTTTGAAAAAAGAGGGCCTTAGGATGACTCTCTCGAAGTGCATACAGAACATACCACTAAGTAAATATTAATTAAAGCTGACCTCCGCCAAATTAAAAACCAATAACTTTATTTAGTTTGTAGAGACATTGGATTATTTCGAAGCGGAAGAGATGAGCAATGCCCTTGCTGGGACTCGAACCACGGACCTCTCGAATTCGCGTTGAGCATGCTGACAACTACACCACGAAAGAATGCTAAGAAGGCTGGAGAAATACCTTATAAGTTGTTAATACGAACACTGATACTGTTACTAAAATGTCTGGAATACGCAAGAAACAGTCAGATTCAAAATTAAGTATGGTATTAATAAAATTAATAATATGTCAAGATTCATAAATCGGTTTTGTGCTATTAAAACGTAAGAAATAATAATGTATTAAAAGGCAGATAGAAAACATGATCGTCAAAACCGCCTTAGAGTAAGATTCTCTGTATCCCCTCTTTTTAAAATCTATTGAAAAGGTGCAAATGAATATGGTAAAGAGAATAAAAGGAAGGTGCTTTTTGTGAATTATCTTCCATTTGGTAAGCATAATTACTTTGGGAAACAGAATATAGTATTTAGATAAAATTTACCGCGTTAATTTAAGAGGTCTTTGTTTACACATTACGTGTTTTATCTTTTCAGTTTTTACACGCTGTTGGTTCAAATTTTCATTTTATTTCATTTTCCGAGTTATAATGTAAAAGTAGTACGTAGTGTATGAGACTTTAAGAAAAGCGAAGAAGCTGTGATATTGATAACGTACAGCTGATTGCATGATTTCATTTGTTAGCATGCTGCCGTTTTCAAGAAGGTTTGGAAGGGCTAAGAAAATAAGTAATAATGAAAAGTTAAATAAGTGGGCAATGTTAACAAACAGTGGGAGATAAGGCGTAACAAATTTATATTTTATGTTCAAAATTTGTTAAATTTTATAATTAAGCTATATTTGAAATAAGGCTGTTGAAAAGTATTTGTTGATATTGCTAAAAGCTGGATCTACAAGTCCTATTTGATTTACTGAACTTCTGTCTGTCTGGACACATGACCATGTAAAAAATTGATCATTAATTTGGTCTTCTTTGTTTCGGAATTCGAACTGCAAAACCCAGTGTAATTGAATGTTAGAAATATTCGATGAGGCTTATAAGTTTCCGCGTCTCTGCATTTTGGTTCCTGAGGTTTCCAGAAGCACCATCCACAGGATTTTAAAGGAAAAGTTGCAATATTCGAAGGTGTGTGCAAGATGGGTGCCGCGTATGCTGACAGAAGACCACAAACGGCAACGGGCACCCAGCGATTTCCACCTGTTCCACAAGTTGAAGGAACATTTGTCTGGACGACGGTCACCGATGATGAGGTGAAAGATGAGGTTCAACGCTTCCTGAAGGGCATGGCGGCAAGCTGGTATGACATGGGCATTGTAAAACTGCCACAGCGTCTACAAAAATGCATCGACTGAAATGGCGATTATGTTGAAAAATAAAGCATTCTTCAATCTTTAAAGTGATGTAGCAATTATAGAAAATAAACGATTCTTTGTATATCTAAAAATATAGGAGACCTTTTTTTGGGGATTGCTTCGTATAAATATATTTATATACGTTTGGTGGGGCCGATTGCAACCAAAATACGAGGTGCACATCTACATGTTATAGCAGTCCTATATACAAAATTCCAACGTTCTGAGGCTACTCGTTTTTGAGTTATGCGAGATACGTACGTACGTACTTACATACGCACGTACGTACATACATTCGTACAGACAGCAAGGAAAATTTCTCTTCAGAATTAATTTTAAAGCAGTTTTATAATTTTTTTGGAGGAAACGAGTCTTTTATTCTGTCCTTACGTACAGATATCACGCAAAAACATGGTTAAACTGCATTCGATAGAGGTCAAAATGGATATTTTCGTTGAAATATGTTGCCTGAAACTTTTCGCGATTACAATACTTCCTTTTTACTTCGTACAAGTAAGTAAAAGGGCTTTATTTAAATTTTAAGAGAATCCTATTTTAAAGGTTCTAAACTTTTAATCAAATTGCATTTTTCACATATTAGTGCAGAACGCTGTGCATATGTGCTTTATTTTAAATTATCTCCCTCTGAAATGTTATCCTTTCTGTGAAAAGCGAAACAATTTCTACTGAAGTTAAAGTAAGAGTAATTATATTTCAAATAAACAGAAAAAAGCGAGCTGAAAGTGGGATAAGTGCCAATTAATTTTAATAAGCACTCTCCTTCGAAGCATGAATACCACATCTGTGTAGGATTTTGAAAGATTATACGAAGTCAATCTTACTTAGCTTATTAGTCTTCTAACAAAAACGAATATGCAATGTGTGTAACGCGCAGTGTTTTGAAAGAATTTAATAACAATACAGAATAGCTTAACGACCAAATCTGAAACTAAGCGACAGCAAGAAGAAGCATATTTTTAATTTCTTAATAAGTTCTGCTAGTGAAAATTCAAATGAGGTAATT